TAGGTCCTAGAGTAAGGTACACTGCTCTGTATGAATGGGTGTGAATGGGTGAATGACATGTAGTATGTAAAGCGCTTTGAGGGGTCTTAAAGACTGGATAAAGCGCTATATAAGTACAGTCCATTTTTTTTTACCATTTTTAAAAAAATTTATATAGCACATTTTTAAACGATTTTTGATCGAGCCAAACATACGTGCTGTACATCTAATAAAAAATAACCTACAGTAAAGACACTTTACAGCAAATACAACAGCACAGTTTGTGCAGAATATCAGTATGAGAAAACGACACCCTCTGTCCTTATATGTTTCTGTTTTGGTGGTCGTGCCACAACCGTGCATGTATGCACAAGTCATAGGTGCGCTATAAAATAGCACTACACCCCTGCAATGTGTGTGAAAGACAATAGGCTTTACAGCATGTTTTTAAATTGAAGTTGGTGTTTGTGTGTTGGTTGTTGAGGGCAATGTGTGACCCCCCTTGGTAACTGATTTCCCCCACATTCGATTTGTTCTAGAGCCGACCCTGGTGGTAACGCTTATAAGTTTCTATAAGTATAACGTTTCTGATGCACTACATTCCAAAAAGGAGCGTCGCCGATCTTGCGTTGCCTTTGAGAAATCCTGGTAGAAGCTTATTTCTTCTCGCGACATTTCTAATGTGCTCCTTTTGCTGGAATCTCAGGAAACGCACCACGAAAGGTCTCATGGAGCCCCGGGCTTGATTGGGGCTAGAGACCTGTGAGCACGCTCCAAATCCAGAGCAAACCAATTGAGAGAGGATATCCATGTTTCACGAGTAACCTTTTACACCCAGTTCCCAGATCGCATTTGATCAACCCATTTTGCTTTTCCCACGGATTGTTTACCTGCATTTAACCAAAACCTGCTCAAACATGATTAGTCAATGGTACTTGGAGAACGAACAAACTATAAACATTTCCAATATCAACATACAGTATAGTGCCATTCCCAATTCATAGTCAGATAACTGTATATAGAGATTGAGGACACTCTAACTCCACCAACAGGACTACTTGATTTAAAAAATCATTCAACATTTTCAGGCCTATTTCTTTTGTGAATATTCCTTGTATTCCTTGTGTAAGAAATAAAACAATAAGATGGTTAAACAATGTAAAACTCTGAATTTCGAGAGAAAATATCGCAAATGCTAGCAAGTACTATCAGCTAGCCAACATTAATATACTACAGGCTGCTAACTTTAACTTTTCTTTTAAAAACACGAAGAAAAGTCCTGCTAGCAACACTTGTGTACAAAATCTGAAAAGTTAGTGTTGGTGATATAAGCAAACTACAAGTGCAATGGTAACAGATTTAGCAAAAGCTGATGATGTACATAATGTATGTGACATTGCGCAATGAGGAACTGGCATAACATAGAGTTTTATCTGTAGTTCAATGTTCCGTTGAGAAAAAACCCAGTCAGTCCAGCCCGGTCTTCGATGTAGTTGTTCAGATTAAAAGGTGGGCATAATGTTGTCTCCTAAAATGTCCTGCCTCCGGTGTCAGGCAGGCCAATCCAGCTCCCAAAGTCCTCCAAAAAAGGTGTCTCACACAGGTACCATTCATAACCGCTAACAAGTCAGCCAACACCTCCAAAAGGGTGACATCAGTTCTGACCCCCACCTCCCTAAACCACACCCCAATCTAACCACCATTCAAAAGATAAACTAATACAGACATATCATCACACAACTTTTCAAAGATTAATCCACACTTTATTAATTTAAGGTAGCTCTATTTATTTTTCAAAAGTACGTTTTAAACACAGCAATGTCAAATTTCTAATCTCAGAAATGAAAGTTTATATGGATAACAGAGACAGAAAAAGGTAAATGACTGCTTGTTGTGAGCTGTGTTTAGGGTAGAGAATGTGAAGAAGCCTCTTGCATGAGTGATGAAACATCTTCAACTCAACTACTTCAGTCCAATGGATTGTTTCATTTCAGCTTGACACTGCATGTTGATAAATTCCACGCCATCTTGTTTTCACATTCTAACTCCCATGTATGTCCATAACCTCTGAACCCCTTCCCCTCCCTCCACCTCCCAAACCAAAACTCCTAGGCATTTGTCATCTCCTTCACGTCAGACTTCATCCCTCGGATGGTCTACCAGTACATGTACAGCCCTGATGGCTCCATGCATGGATTTGTCAACCATACGCTCTCCTACTTTAATGTCAGCCATTTCCAGGAAGGAAAAGAACCAATGGATCCTCTGCACCTTGGCTACCACGTTGAGATATGCAGGTGGGAAATCAAACTCAGTTCACAATGGTCAATCTCATGAAAAAACTATCAACATCAATATACCACTGTCATTTGAAATGTGTTACTTCATATAATTAATCAAATGCTACCAAGGTTGAGACATCTATTGTCTTCAGGAGATTTCAATATTAAATAAAATTTATGAAGTTCTGTTGAGCTCAGGGTCACGCTTAAGTGGATCACATTTATAGTAAGAATGTTTGTTGGGTTGAAGACCAAACAAAAGATGCGTTTGTTTCTCTAAAGGTATAAGGACTACAGAGAACCGCCTTGGTCAGCCACACCATACGAGATCTCAAAGGAATTCTGGACAGTACTGGCGGTACGACTGGCATTTGTCATTATTTTCCAGGTAAGGTGAAAATTAAAGAAAGTAGGAAATAGATTATTAAGAAAGTTTCATAAGCCTTACCAATGGTCTGTTATACCTGTGCAGTGTTCTGCTATCAAGAAATACCAGACCTCTGATGGTCCAAAATAAGCGTGTAATAAAAATATACCTCTCTTAGTTCTTTAAGTTTGTGTTACAAGTGTTTTATCCCACATTTTTGTTACTTTTATATTTAAAAATATTTCGTTTTTATATTCAACAAGTAACTTGCAACCTTGTTTAGGCTAGAACAGAGCAATACAAATGAAATAAAAAAACAGAAAAAAAACACTTAATAAAACAAATGAACTAAAAACAAAAATTCAGTAACCTTGGTGACACAGGGCCATTGTCAAAAGTCTTATAGCCTCTTGGAAAATGATATCAGTATTTTCTGCTGTGGCATAAATCCTCCATTTCTTCCATTTACTAAGAAAAACATTTTCTCTCTCTCTAAGTTGATAACAAATGACATATTTGATATTATCAACACATCTGTAAGAAGATTATCTTATAGAAACGACTTGCCTGTTACAATATTGTGAAGATGGATACAATAAATGATAGGTTGCCTTAATCATGACCCAGGGCAGGAAGGTGAGATGACCAAGCATTACTTTAAGTTTTCCCAGAATACACAGGATAAAGAGATTCTTCCATGTTCGCTTCCAGAACGTTGTGATGCTGATGAGCGACATTGTGGACTGGCTGATTCCAGACATCCCAAAAGACATCAGCATGCAGATCCACAAAGAGAAGATTCTACTAGTAGAGCTCTTCATGAGGGAAGAGCACAGCAAGAGCCGTAACCTTGACAGCAGGGTGTCCGGGAAGGGGAAGGCCAACAGCAGCAACAGCAGCAACAACAACAACTACAGCACTACAGTGCACCCCCGCTCTGGGCCGCACAACAGCACTGGGAGCCTCTGATGCTGGAGACATTCATCCTTAGCTCTTCATTAGCAGAGCTTGGCTGGCAGGAAGTGCTAATAGCCTACTAGCTCAGGCTAACTAACTTTGTGTTTTATCCTTTTTCAGTACATTCCAACAACTGGGAGAGCAGTTGGGTGATGAGATGTGAATTGATTGGGGGAGGGGGTTAATATGTGGCTCTCAATTAGTGTGTGCACTTAGATTTGTAAAACAAACTGATACTTTTTTAATTAGTACAGGAAACTGTACACTTAAAGGTGGGGTAGGTAAGTTTGAGAAACTGGCTCTAGATACAGTTTTTGTTATATTCCATGGAATGCTCTTAACATCCCGATAGCAATGAATATCTTAAGTGCTTTGACAAAAAACTCCATAAAAAAATGTCATCTGTGGAAACCGTAGTACTGTAAAAAGCACGACCAATCATTTTAGCCGGCCCGGCTAAAATAAATGGATGGCCTACCTGCCTGTCAGCCTTCCATCTGTGCACAAACTTATCTCGTGCCCTCATTGGTCATGTGCGCATTCGTGTGTGTTGGAGGAGGGGCTCTGTATGGCAGTGGCAGATTTTTTCCGGCTGTGTATTTTCAAATTCTAACGCACTCGAGCCTGTTTCTCCAAAATTACCTACCCCACCTTTAAACGCATTTTTGAGAATACGTATGATAATAATGCATGCTCAGATTTGCAAAGTGTACATAAATCTATAAATCTGCATATACTTTATGCACATGTACACAAAAACATGCAAATTATTATTATTGAGTATTTACCAAGACTAAAGCCCAGCTACTAGTTTGCACAAAGTGCCAATAAAAGAAATGCAGACAAATTGATTTATATTACTGAACTTGGGATTTTTATTAAAAAGAATACATTTGCAACTGCAGTTGTGTATTCATTTTAGCAAGAGGAAACTATTGGATAAGGTAAAGCTGATTAAAAATATAACAGGTTTGAAGCATTGATGCTTGTCCTACTCATCATGTGTGTGCCCAAGATACTGCAGATTACCTGCTTATCCCAGATAAAAATGCCTCTATGCCTGAAAACCCTAAAGTTTGTTATGTTTTTAGGCCTAACCCTAACCCGACGCTAAAAGTATGTCACATGTTAAAGACAGGCACAGCGTACTTTAGGTATAAACAAAGACATCTGTTATTTCAATCTTGGAAATTAAAATGTCAATGTTCCACATATCAATAAAAAGCCATTTACAACGAGTTTATGAGGTTTCAGGTAAGGGTTGAAGAAACATTTACACATTTGAGCGAAAGGAAGGTTCCATACATTAGTTTATTATTTTGCTCTTTATTAGGCTTCACACATACCCACTGCAAATGTCATAAAAACAAGTCGGTAGTGTCAAAGCAGGGTCACAGATGCATGACATATGGTTGAAACATGTCTCATTATTGCATTTCATTTTTATAGTTTTCAATTCATTGCATTACCAAGGTTTAAAGTTTGCTTTGTATACGTTTTCTATTCTTAATATATATTTTATGTTTTTCCTTCCAATGTAGCTTTGCATTTTTAGCCTACATTAAAGAATAAAATACTTTAATCATCAGAAATGTATAACTATGTTGATTGCTTTAATGTTGCCTATAAAACATCATCTTGAACTGAGAGTGAAGAGATGATGATGCCTCTCCTGTAATCAGTGCTTGAATTGGAATAAAAAAGGTGCCAGTACTCTAAATCAGCAACAAGTATTTGGCACAAAGTCATAGTGCTGGTGGGTTTGTCTCTTTACTGTATATTTTAGAAAGGCTCACTGTACTTAAACAAAATGACTCAGGGTGCATCTGAGATTAGAGGGGGTGCAGTGGTAAAGTACTATTTTTACAAGTGGGGAGTGGACCTGACACCCTCTA